GAAATAAAAAAAGAAAAAAAATCCCCCCTCCCCTATTGTGAGGGGCCACCCTCCGTGGCAGCCCAACAGTTCACTTTTGCTTGGTGTACTGATTGAACCTCCACGGAAATTTTTTTTCCGAATTTTCCCCACGCGTGTGCATTTCCGGGTTTTTGATGAAAATGTTTTCCCACCTTTTTCGTGGGAAAATATTTTCCTGGCCGGCTGGAAATTTTTATTTTTTTGGCAATGAAAACAAATGTCATAACTAATGGTAAAAAAAATTTCACTTTAATGGACAATTTTCATGTAAAACAAAGTCAAACGAACACAAAATTTTGATAAAAAAATGATTTTTTAGGAAAAAAAAATTTTCCCTTTTTTTTTTCTTTTTGGCAATGGAAACAAATTTTATAACCAATTGTGAAAAAAAATATCACTTTAATGGACAATTTCCATGTAAAACAAAGCCAAACGAATAGAAAATTTAAAAATTTTCCGAATGGAAAATTATACCAATCAAACACACTTGAAATTATTTTCCCTGCAATACATTTTCTAGGCAAATCTTTTCCCTGTAAAATATTTTCTTTCCGACTATTTTCCACCCTTACAATGAAACGCACCCTAAATTTTTCTACTATTACTATTCATCTGACTTTTATATTTCAATTGAGACTCGTATTTTTAATTGAACTAGTCATAGTCAAATGTACCTTGCACGTATTAGAAATTTTTACATAGGTGTAAATGATAAATGACTGATATCGTTTAATGCACACAGTGAGTTGATTTGTCTTTTGCTTTATCGTGATCTTAACATTAGACACATAATTCAGCGGAGCCTTATTTGCCATTTCTCAGAAAATATTGGGCAATACGACCGCAAATAATAATTTAATTCTTCACTTAGAGAGATCGTCACTAATTTGGGTGACAGTGAATATCGTGATTCATTATCCAAAACATTAAAATACATCACAGCTCTATTGAATAATAAATCAAGGGTCTCACATTACTCAAACGGAAAATGCCTCATCAAAGATCGTGACTGACGATAGCAATTGTCGAATAACCCACCACCATAAATGAGTAAAAATTGAGTACGAAACTTTCAAACCGACCATAATCCCCTCCACGAGCATGTGGAGCGGGCATTTGTCTGAAATTCCTATAAAAAATAAACATTGTAGTGTTTTCATATTACACTAACGAATCATGCTTTATCAGACGGGGGCAAAATTTTAAAACCAAAAGCAAAACGAAGAGGTGCACAAAATCTTAGCAGTGTCGCGACCCTAAAACAAGTGTAGTAAATAATCATAACCACCACTGTGAACCCTACAACATGGTCCCAATTTCGAACAATAATACACTGTACATATGCTCAGTCGCGTAACCCCCTGATAACTAAGAATGGGATATCCTCGGATTTCGGCTCCAAGTTCAAGGTTAAAAATTACTGACCCCATACTCCAACACTGCAACTTCTTGATCTACTCTCCAATAGTTTGCATCGTTGAATTCCTTCATCCCTGCTCCATCATCTTCTGAATCCTCCTTTTCAGGAGTCTTTGGAGATAGGTTACTCTTCAGTGGCCCAGCTTCCCCAACAACCCCCTCCTTGAGAGCTTGCTCCATTGCCTTCTCTGTCCCCTCTAGTTCTACACCCACAAATTCAACGTCCTCTTCAAACAGGGAAGGTGCAGCTATGCTTTTTTGACCTGAATCAGATTTAGTTGAACCATCACTGGAATCTGTAGAACTGGAGGTACCATTTGGTAAAGAGCCTCCAATTGAAGTGGTGGAACTAATTTGGACAGCGCTCGTCTCCACTGAATTAGCAGGATTGTCATTGGTGTCATTATGGTCAACAAATGGGTTCACACTCGATCCACCAACCTGAAAGTCTGATGTCTCTCCCCATGCGACCCATTCAGGAATGGGCCTGTCTCCAAACAGATCGTCGTTGTCTGATGTCTCAAAACGGAAGAAACCAAGGTCTCCAGATGCACTGGCCTTCTCATTCTGGGGAACCGAGTCGCCCCCATTTACAGGGTTGTTTCCATAGAAGTCATCGAAGGGGTTTGTCTTAGAGCCAGACGAGCCATTGGCAAAAGTGTTGCTCTCAGTCAATTCCTCATCCTCTCCAACCACTACCTCATCGTCACTACTGCTGTTACCACCATTTGATGTTCCGTTCAAATTGATATCATCCATCATATCACGAAGTGAAGTGCCCCCAGGTGCATCACCAATTTTGTCATCTTGGAAAGTGAACCAGTTGGAGTTCGTAAACAGACTTCTGCAAGAAAGAATCAAACGGTTTCAAACAATGACAAATAGGCTTGCTTGATAGCCAGATTCTAACTTCTTGCGCATCACAGAAGCCAACACAATAATATTGCACAATAAATGCAAATATTAACTATATTATTGCACGCGTATTCATTCTTGCAAAGACTTCCACTTCCTTTCTTTCAAAGTCTTTCGTATTTTCTTTTCCCCTTTTATACAATTCTTATGACAATCTACTTCTGGGACTTGTTACAGTTATTACAGCAAGGACACACAGTCCTGTGAACCAAAGTATATAAACCTACAGTTGCAGTTGCAAATCTTTTTCAGCATATTATCAAAATAGTTAGAATGTCTATATCCTATTTGTGCAACTTTAAATTTCTCTAGAAAATTACAATGAAACTCACCTTCCCTGGTCATCACCCAACCTTAGGGATGAAATCACTACCTCTGCAGATTCATCATCAAAGTAAAAATCCTGCATTTTCATCAATCAATGACCAAAATTAAGCAACATGGAATTCACAGAGGAAAGGGGTTGCAAACACTTGCTCCCCCTATGTGTCCTTTCCACACAATATTATTACAAGTAGCAGAAGTGCCTGTCTCTCTGGCATTCCATGCAGATTTATAACTATAAACAATATAGTATATTATGTATATTATTGACATATATGTGTGAGAAGTAATAACACATGATACAGTGACAAAAATACATACAAAAGAAATGTTATATAAGATGACAAAAATCAAAACTGAGACCAACAAAATGTAAAATCTGTTTACATAATCAATACTTCAAAAGTAAAAATGCATCCTGGAACCATCCAAGACACCCACTACCACCCAATATTGGCTGGTACGAGCAAGAATGACTTAGATTTGACTTGATTTGACTTGATACAGTATCTGGAATTCATATACCAGTAGTATTCCTCCTGTATCAGCCAGTATGAAACCAGATTTATAACACTCTTTCTACATTATATATCCATTCTTTAGTTTCATATCTGCGTAACAAATAAATTAAAGATTAAGCATAAATTACCTCATCAACTCTCTCAAGAGATCTGTTACCCTGCAAAAGAGCAATTGAAATCATAGATAATTTTGAAAGAATTTACCAATTTATTTCTTGAGATGATTACTGATGATTTTTCTTCTGGTACTGCTGTTTGAGCCTACCTCTGTATCATCATTATCATATGCATTGTATCTGAATCCTTGGCTTAAATTATTTGCCAGAGCTGCAACATCATAATCCCTATCATGGACATCATCCTCGTCACTCTCCCTAGTCCTGTCTTGCAATGCAGTTGGCCGACTGTACACATGAATACGAGAAATTTTAAGGAATTAAAGCTGGAAGAACCATCTAATTTGGAGAGACCTCCTAGTAAAACAGAGAGATGAAACAGTACCCCCACTTGGCAAAGTACAATTTTTTTTTTAAGGAATTAAAGCTGGCAGAACCATCAAATTTCAGAGAGATGAAACAGTACCCCCACTTGGCAAAGTACAAATTAAAACAGAACCACACAAATTAAATTTCAGAAAAAAGCATAAGATGAATTTAAATATGTTCAAAATTTTAGGAGAACGTCTGGGAATTCACTCGTGTAGTCAATTAATGTGACAATAGTAGATAGTAATTGGGTAATAACAAATTGTACTAGTTTCATTTGTTATGAACTGATTGCAAAAGATAAAGAAGAGGCATACCCACAAGCCCATCGGTATACATTTTCAACCATGTTACGCTCCTGTAAGATGGTGGTCTGCCACTCATTCCATTCATTATTTTCCTAAAGCAAACGAAACAACATTGCATGAGTAGAGAAAAAAAAAATTGAAGACATAAATTATTGTGAAACCGTCAATATGTGAATAGACATTAGCCTTTGTTTTAGGCAGCAAAGGTAACATTATAAAGATTCAAGTTTCACGAAAAAATTCAGAAGAACCATAATCAACAGGTGCTTTAATGGAAGATGTGGTCTGCAGCTTGACTAGGAGACTTGAAACAGATCGTGCCCAATTCAGAGGCTGATCACATGTTGATATGCATATCAAGAATAGGGCAGAATAATGGCAACAAGCAGATAGAAAAGACCACAAAACTGAAAATTTATCCAAACAATTACAAGCTTTTGTTCTCTTTAAGTTGCAAATGAAGAATTGAAGACTGCTTTTCAAGAATAATATCAAGGAATGTGGCATAAATTTAACAAAAAGTCGGCTTATCACAGACCTGAAGATATTGCTGTATGCGTTTGTCATTGTTACACAACTGAACAAGTTTATTTGATATGCGAGTCAGATGTCCAAAGTACCCTGCTCGGGGTGCCTGTCTTCCAGCAACAGGTAAAGTTGGCTGCAAAAAGAAGAGACGAACTATCATATTTTTCACTTCAAGTCACAAGACAGGAAGGAGGAACTGTCAAAGAAAAATGATGAGAAAGATAGGAAGAAGGAAGATTTGAAAAGAAAACAGGACAGGTCTATTTTCATCACAAACAGAACGCCAAGGTCTACCAGGACAACAAGAAAAAATGTCTAATTTGCCAGACAAAAAATCGTTAAAATTTATGAATTGTTTCCTGAATTACAGTGTTTGTACTCTCAATTTCCAAATCACACACATGCCAGTCCTAACCTTCTACACAAGGATAAATGAAAGGTGACAGCCAATATGCCATGCATAATTGGAAAGACAGCCGGAAAATTTGAGTCATTATTCGACAAAAAACTACCTTGTTGAGTTCAGCAGAAAGAATAGGATTTTTATCCGTCTGAAGAACTTTTCCAACCAATTTACACTCTTGAAAAAGATGATCAACAACGGAATCATTTTTGCTTTCTAAGCATGAATATATTATACTCTCCACGTGATGATGTAAGGCATTATTGTATGGATACCTACATCAGAAAATGTAACATATTAAGAACGAGCAGTTCTAAAAATCGATGCTCCAACTGCAGCTTCCACGGGACTAAAGATCATTTAGTGTTATTAAAACGCCAAAAATTACTTAAGAAGTATCGTCTTACTCAAAAAAGAGATCAAGGACCCTCAGAATTGTCCCTGAACTGACCAATTCTTTCTCAGCCACCTCATTGCCAGTTTTCAGCAGCTCCGCAAAGAACTCCACAACCTATAAACAGGAAGACAATTGCATAAATTGTTAAAATGCCAAATATAGAATCATGTGATCCTGTGTCCAACCAAAAATTCAATAGTCCACATCATTTTGAGGGTTGCATGAAAACAATTAACCAAAATCAACATACCAACCTTTAAACGGTGTTTCCCAAGAGGGGGCAGTAATTCACCATAAGTTGTAGGTAGAATCTTCTCATCAGATGACACTCTTAACAGTGTCAGCAAGTCCCCTACACCAAAAAAATGTGTCAATGCTAATACTGGTGACAAATTGAAAACAATAGGGTACTCATGCCAAGCCACCTGTTATCAGCAATCTAGAAAAATGTGAAAAATAAGGGCATTGGATGGTATTTGAATATTATCTTAAAGGGTTCTTTCTATCCTCCTATAAAAATGTCAATTTTTCATCATGCCAATAAAGGATGAGATTTACCCCCTGCCCCAACTCAAAAACAATGAAAAAGAAAACAGTAAGTACTAAGTAGAAGCATAAAGAATATTTTCCTTATCGCAAATATGTCTCCACCTCTTCAATTTGACACTTGCCATTGCCTGCCTAGAGCAGTTAATGGATCATCTACCACTCTGCAAGGTTTTTGTCACTGAACCTAGCTTTTCCCTTTGAAAACACGAAGTCTGATTTGATGGTTGAGGAAGATTTCAGTGAAAACTGAATTCTTAAATACATTCAAAGGAGTAAATTATAGATATTGCCTAGGTTTAAATGGAGTACTAAAACAAGATCTTGACGCAAAATTTATTCACTTCTAACTATATCTGGGTATGTTTGTTGCTATAAAACAGGTCATTCTGTAGGTTATACCATCAAAAACAGGCTCTAACAGGTTAGTATAGAACCTGCTCTTACTACCTTCGACCCCAAATTTATTTGGCATAAGTCTTGGTTTGTTGCTGCAAATCGTTGAAATTTGTTAAATGCAGCCTACATAAAGAATGTTGACCAACAGAAATTTCTCTGTAGAAATATTTCTTAAAGATCACAACGCTACGTGCCTGTTATACTTATTCTCTACAAATTGTCATTTAAGTTACACATCTTCTGGATAAACCTAAGAAAAAATAAACTAAACACTGGTATAAACCAAAAATCAATATAGAAACAGTTTATAGACCATATGAATCAAGATTCCATGAACGAGAAATCTGACAAGTGGCCCCTAGTACATGTAACAATACACAAAGTACAATTTTCTTTTGGCTAGTTTTACTGATCATAAAATGAATATGTAAATACAAATACAAAGCAGCACAAGAGAAATTACTAACATATGTGGTTATGGACTCACCCAGTTTGGGAAGCATTGCACCAAGAGTATCAGCATTAGCCAATTGATACGCGTGTTGGCTTTTTAAAGAATACATTACGGGTGAAGAAATTGATCTTCTTGGATCCAACAAAGAAATACACACAGACAACGAGTGGACAAGGGCAGATTTTGAATGTGAGTCTTTAAGTGCACGATCAAATATCCTTGCAACAAAACTGCACATAAAGAAAGCTACAGAGTCAACTAATATTCATATCATTTATCCAAATAACAGGTCAAAAACTGATCCACAAGGTGAGGAAAAGCATTCAAGTTTAGTCGTACAACCTTGGGCTGGATAGTTTGGTAGCCAGAGGTGATGGAGCATTTCGGGTTATGGCACATAATGTTTCTGCTGCATTGGCATGTACTTCAGGAGGATTCTGGAGAACACGAAAGGTATATTAGTTATCATCAGATATATACATGTCATTTGCCGAAATCCCTCACAACAAATGTAACTAATACTCCATGCTGATAAACTTGCAATTATGCAAGCTTCCATTTGCCAAACACCACATTTTCCCTTCCAAATGAAAAGATATCAACTATGGCTGAACCAGATACACCATTGGAAGAGGGACAACAACTATATACATGGAAACATTGCGTAATGCAACAATCCTTCAGATAAATTTCAATTTAAGAATTACTTCTTCCTAGACATTCCAAGAAGGCACACATCACAGTATAATCTCGACAAATGAATGTTCTAGATCTTCCTATTTTTGAAATAATTTAAAACAATAATAAATGATAAGCACCAAGCCACGCGAATCTGCAGATTAAGGTTCTGTAAGCAGTGCATGATTTGCATTGTGCACTGAAGCCAAAGCTGACAATTAGTTCCATGCCACTATGGTAATACAAAAAAAAAAAATTGTGGATAAACTAACAGACAAACCCGATATAAATTATTTCGGGTCACAGGGGCATCCAAAGTATGCCGAAACCACATACAGTGACAAATAAAATACAGGGGAAATTGGATAAAAAGGACAATAAAATATTTACATAAAGGTCCCAAAGTTTCATAGGCAAAATATAATAAATTGAAGTTGACTAGAGGATTATGAGAATGGAGATAAATATATAAATTTATTAGAGAGTCCATGGAGAATATGCAAAACCTAAGAAAAGCACAGCCATATTTACTAGAAAGCATTATATTACACAACTAGGCTCAAAGGACAAATATAACCACCTTGATATAACTGGCGTCAAAGACTAGAAAATTAGCTATTGACAAATACTAAAATAGACAGGCAGTCTAGGCTTGGTTCAACTCCTACTCCAAGAAGCCATGATGCCATTTTTTGAGACTTACTGCTGTATCCAATTTATCCACAATCATTTCCAGTAAGTTGCTATCAGCCAACCATTGTATCACGTCCATTGAATTGGAGTATAGATGGTCATCGGCACCTACAAGTCGCACCAACACCTAATAATAAAGAGTTAATGAGAAGATAATAACCCACCGAAAGCAGTAAAATATTATTTAATTCCAATACAAGATTTAACCAAAGAAATTTATATAAGACATCAACCTCCATGATGGATGTAATGCCAATTAGATCAACCAGCAGCTTGAAAACATCTTGATGGGCCTGGACAGAACCAACATCAGCTGAATGTAAGATGTCTAGTTAAGAAAATATTGTTATTTGAAACAAAAGAACAAAAAGAAGGCTTCAAATGGTAAAGTTTCCAACTTGTTTCTCCTTGTGCATGGAGATTATGCTTATCATTCTGAACATCAAAGGGGGGTATAAATTAAAGCCTGTTTGAGCCCTCATTTTCTTGCCAAAAATACATTTTGGAATAGTGATTTGATGGAGAATGTGTGGTTAAAAAATAAGAAAGTTATAGGTTTGCATGTAAAATTATTTTATTGAAAAATGTGTGGTTGAAAATGAAAGGGAAAAATGTATTTTGAAAATGCTGAGGATCAAACAAGGGCTAGTATGTTGTTGTAGCTCAAGACTTCCCATCTTTACATTTGTCAAAAGATTCAGATTCCAATTCAAAATACACAAAATTCAAACATTTAGTAGCTTAATCAAAGCAAAAGTACAGGGCCGCTACACGAATATGGTAATTAAATCCCAAGGATTACAACTATAGGAGTCATCAAACACTCCACAGCCAAAATATAATTACAGCAATAGTAATAAATTTTGTTTCTTAAACAGCACTTCCCAATGCTTGATGACTTCACTTACCCATTCCCTATACCCATAGAATAAAAAGCATTATTAGAGAAGAAAGCATATGGTGTTGGCAACCCGTTTAAGATCTCAAACCCAATAGGAATAACAAATTTAAACTCAATGGCAAAAGAACCTTAAGCATAATAGTAATACTATATCAGTCATCAGGTTAGTCAAGAACACTCTTAGGTGACGAACGTTAGGTGATTAAAAAAATAATGGGTATAAGCCATTTCCTAATTTCTATTCTACAATAAAATGACTGGTTATGACTCCTGCTTATTATGCACTGAAAATGACAAAAAATAACACAAAATGTTCAAATTTTTCACCTATCAATAGGTGTACGGATGCTTTATTTATCACCAGAAGAGATGAACGCTATATGGCAGCGCCAAGAATATGATATTATGAGGCGCATGCTTAAGAGCATATGAAACGGGCAAAAATACATGGAGTAATGCGAGCAGGAGATTTTTCCTGTCATCTTTAAATCTGTAAATTTTCAAACTCGAGTGAGAACTCATAAGTTTATTGAGATCTCTTGCTAAAAGTAAAATTATTAATGATTGCAGGAAAAGGACACTTGTCAAATGCCAAAATGACCTCGCACTTTCACCATTTAAAGAAATTCATTCACCATCCTTTCTGGCTTGCCATTGGAAACTTTTCCGGCCAGTCTATTTAAAAAATAAACTTTAGCAGATCATGAACATTGACTAAGAAAAGTTGCATGAATTGATAAGACAAATTGCAGATTGATACATTATTTAAAACGATATGAAACAAGATTTCAGAATTTCGATACAAGACTTAAGGCAGACCTTTGTTCTTCAACAGCCCACCCCACAAAATATATACATAACCATATATACACACACACACAAACTCACATCAATGGAGATTAAACTTAAATTACCTTCACATAATTCATAAGTGGAATAGTTTTTCGCAACATTAGGCATATTACGACCTGCAATGAAAAGAGAAATTAGATCAAACAAATTACTCGTCATAACTGATAACACCATAACAAACACTGAACAAGAAACATTTTGCAAAACGCTTATACAACAAAGAGTACCTTACTAAAATATCCTGCCAAGAGGGCACTATGGGGACGATTAGGTTCCAAAAAAGAGAACAGTAAATCCATAAGCTGCAGAAAATAGAGCATACAATTAAAATATCAAGTGCTCGAACACCAATTTGGTCTACAACCATGTCTTTCCAACTGTTTGACACGATGATCTCACCTCCTCTTCCTCCACCAAAGTCTTAAAGATGACATCAATCTCACAAGTAAAAACTTCACAAGCAATGAAAGGATACCTACATTAAGAAACAGATATTAGAATAAAAAATGGACTATTCTCAAACAACCACAAGATACTGTCCCTTCTAAATTACAACTCAAGAAGCAGGAACATAGATTTTATAGGAAACATAATTATAAAGTAATGCATAAAAGTTACAAATGATCACTGAAATGCTTATTCTTTTGCTTCGGAGCCATCTAAAACTCACTTGAACATTCGTTTACTATCGGCATCCTCTAGGCACTCCTCAACGATGTAGCGCAGCAACTGTTCAACTTGAGCTTTATCTCTCAAACTAAACAACAATAAAACTTCACATTATCTTCAAGGAACTTCAAAACAAAAGGTCAAATCAGCAGGTCGTGGTAAGGGCATGATTGCCTAGGAACCGTGACTTGTTAAAAACTTGCCCATAACGTGGATGACAAAGACTTGTTAACAGAAATATGTAGTTCAAAAGTAAAGGTACCATACAAATTTATGAGGCGACTATTTAATGATTTGCATTCTTGGATTATCTCTTCTTCATCCAGAAGCTCTTCCAATGTAAAATTTTCCTTGTCCAACACTGACTCAACCTAAAGGTTACGACGAAAAATAAATAATAATAATAATAATAATATGAACAGGAAAAGGACAAACAAAGCAAACATAACCCAGGATTCATGATGAAAAAGCCCACCGTAAGAGAGATAATTATCAACAAAACGGAAATACAAATAAAAAAACATATAGTCCAACATGTATAGGGGCACAAATGAACTGATCAAAGTTCACGTCGACCCAGTCGCTGAGTCTTTAGTACATCATAAGACTGTCTTGTTTATCTATAAGCCACTCTCAAATAAGTTATTTTACAGAGTAAAAAATGAGTTCAGTTTTATTAACTTCATTATTTGCAACTATTTTGCATGCATCTATCAATCCGTTATGAGCTTAACTAGCTTAACTAATTAGACAAGCTTGAACAGGCCTTGAATGAGCCAAGCTCAAGTAGAGTTCAACTGGCTTAAGTCATTTTACAACCCTAGGCACATATGTCAACAAATTTAATCAAGCAAACTAAAAATGCTATGGATGTCTTTAAATTCAGACCCAGAGGTACATGGGGAACAAAATGAAGAAACAGAAAACCAGATTTAACCTCAAACGCAGCATTCATATATTATTTTATCCTTAGCAAATTAAAGATTGTTGAAAAATATTATTTTTAAGTCAATGGAGAAGGTGGAGAGACAGGCAGCTGGAAAAAAAAGGTAGAAAAGAATATTTATGTGTCTAGATATTCAAAAGAACAAATGAAATAAAGATCCAATTCTTTTGGCCACTTCATTTTATTTCACTTTCTGAGCTAACAAATAGTTGGAATCTTGAATCCTTCATTTCACAGAATCAAACTGAACGGAGTAATTAGCAGTAATGGAATTTAACAAAATGGCTGCAAAAATTAGTTCAAAGCGTAATTAAAACATAACTTTATAATTATATTCGGAGGATGAGTAAAGTTAGCACATTCATAGATTACAAATATTAACAATCAAAACAAAATTGTCAATCTCACCAATTAAAACTAGTAAACATTAGCTCAATTCATGACCACAGAGAGAGAAAAAATAAACTCAAGCCAAGAAAAACTTCATTATACCAGCAATCGAACAGCAGAGCAAGATTAATATTCCTGAAAAGAATAAAAAGCATTTTTTTTTTTTTAACTTACGGGAGAAGAAGCAGAGAGAGCTGTGAGTTTCCAAAACATGTCGAGTGTCCGTGTGTATAGATATATATAAGCAGACAGAGAAAGACACACGAGCTACACAAAGAGGAAGTTCTGTATTTAGATCTGCAAACCCTAAAATTGAATCAAGGCAAGGACCAAATTGAAAGAACTCCAGAATTAAGACGGGTTTGGGGGCAAAAATAGTAGGTGATGGAGAGGAAAAACCCTAATTCCTAAAGATCAAAAACAGTGTGAAGCGGTAGAGATCAAGACGACTTTTGATTTATGGTAGAAATTAAATTTGAGTGGAAAATGAAAACGAAGGCCTTTGGACGAATTTGAAAGGGCAGGGGTGGGTGTGGAGAAGTACAGAACCAAAATGAGCTTCGTATTTGACGAAACCAATACTATGATATTCTGTATGTATATGCGGAGTGCGAGATTTTTATATATGCACCATGAACTTTCTCACATAAATAAATAAACTTTTTCTTGATAGTTACAGTTTTATAAAAACTTTAACTTATTTAATTTGATCAATAAAATTATTTATTTTAAATTTAGAGCATGTTTGGCTATGCTTAAAGGAGGTGAATCTAAATTTTAAGTTCCCAAAATTTTCATACAATTTAAAAATCAATAAAGCTGGTTGTACGAGGCCCGTGTACAACTAGCAAAACCATTTAAAAATTACGTTTTATCAGAAAGTAAGTTTTACTTCCTAAAAAAGTTAATTTTAAGTACAACCAAACATTAACGTTTTTAAAATTAAATTTTTTAGTTGATGCTTATAGCATACCTCCTTGAGGATAGTGCTTATAAGAATGTTTGATGTTGCAAAAATTCAACTGCAAACTATTCTTTTTTTTTTATTAAAATTAGTAATAATCTTAATGCTAGTAGATCTTGTACGTATAGTGCAATTCTAGTTCAACTAAAACATTCGTGACAATAGTTCTTGACTGCCCCATGCGATGACATCAAGATTAAGATCATTCCTACGAGAACTGGAGAACATATCTATTAGGGAGTTTAGAATGGGGTCCTCGGATATGAGAGTGTGTTTGGTAGGGATTTTTGGAAGAAGAATTGATTTTTGAATAGTGATATGATGGGAAATCTGAGGTTGAAAAGGAAGAAAAAAATATTGATTTGATGAAAAATATTATTTTATTAAAGAATGTGTAGTTGAAAATGAGTATTGATTTACTGTAGAAAATGAGAATTTGTACCAAACATGCCCTGAATGTAAAAGATTAGGCATACGGTATGATCAAGTTTGGCCATATCAATGTGCAGTCTTATCTTTGTAAAATCTATTAAAAAAGGACTTCACTAGCGAAATCAAATTAAAACGAAGTTTGTACTCAATAGAACAAAACAAACATAAAATGACTAGTGGTTTGCAGTAAGATTAAAATTAAGTAATAATCTATTCAACGTGGCTCTTTTTTACTTCCAGATTAACAAATTCAAACTTCCATTAATTATTAATTTTTCACATGATTGTGATGGTCTATTTTTGTGGCCATGGTGTGACGTGGGTAAGGTCCCGTGATATGACTTGATGTACTTATTTGGTGCTATTTTTTTAAAATCTTATTTTTATTCAACTTTATTTACAATCATACATCATTTCATGGTACTCATAATTTTTATCGATCTTTCAAATAAACATTTAGAGTCTGTTTAAGCCTCGTTTTTTATTAAAATGTATTTTAAAATAATATTTTGATGGATAATATGCAACTAAAAAAGAAAAAAATTGCATTTAATATTATTCTATTGAATAATGGGATCAAATAAGGGCTTAATCAACTTTAATCAAATTTTACTTGACCCCTATTGGTGGGGATAAAAATCAAATTTTTAGTCCATGTTTGAGAGGCATTATTCCAGCCATTAATATAAGAAATGTGACCGTTACTTTGCAAAACGGAGCCTACCTGTGAGAAGCATGTCAGAAAAAGCCTTTTTTTGGTTCAATAACGGTGAAAAAATTTATACTTCTGATGGAATAATGCCTCTCAAACAGGCTGTTAGTAAATTTTGATAAAAGTCAATTAAGTTTTTGTTTGAGTCCCATTTTTTGAATTTAATAGATTTTGGAATAGTAATTTTTTGGAGAATATGTGGTTAAGAGGTAGGAAAAAATTTTAAATTTACGTATAAAATATTTTATTGTATAAATGTGTGGTTGAAAATGAATTTTGAACAAATATGAATCAAGCGGGAGCTAAATGTATGATTAAAAAATTATGAATCTAATATGTTATTAAAATTACTTGTTGACATTAATTTATATTAAAATTTCAATTTTAATCTGTACTGAACAATGGCTAAAAATCTCAATCAAACAGAGCTATAGTATTTTTATATTCAAGTTGAAAGATTTTATCCACATTTATTTAAAATTCAATTCTATTAGCTTATAATTTAAATTTGTAATCAAATTTCCAAACATGAGTATAGTCCAGAGCAACCAAGGTGAATATCATAGTATGATGGCACCATCGTAAATAACCTTCTGATTTGTGCATGCAAAATCAAAGGAGCAGGCACAATGTCACGTGGGCGGCGCAGTGCGTACCACGTGCCCCCTTTTAACTTATTAATAATAATTTGACTTAAGCACTAACAAGAAAAAGTTAATAACTTTGTTTGATTAGTAAATGCAAAGGTGATTAATAATTTAAGCCACCATGGGTGAACGAAAACATGATGGGAGAGTAAAATAAAAGGCAAGTGGACAACTCTTTTCTTTTTTAATGTTCCTAGGTTCCCTTCAAAACTTAAAAAATGAATTAAGTCCCCGTTTGATTTAGATAAAAATTACATTTTTAGTGGAATTTAAATAAAATTTGATGGTATTGTACTTGAAAAGTTGTGAATTCTGTAAAATATGAGATTATTGACTTTGATTTAGATTTTAATTTCGATTTTAAGCTAAACCAAACGTGGGCTAAATAATAATCCACTCGTTCCATAAAGATATATTTGTTTTCCTATTCTGTTTGTTCAAAAATATGTCACTTTTCTTGTTGAGAATACAGTTGATTTTTTAATTTTCTAATATACTCATATTTGACGTGCCTTGTTTGAATCAACAAGCATGAACTACTAATATTAAAACACCTATTTAATGTAAGCTCGCATTTGGTGCACATTTTTTGAAAAAGAATGCATTTTTACTGTTGATGCGATGAGGAATATGTGGTTGAAAAAGAAGGAAAAATTATTGATGTGATGGAAAATATTATTTTATTGAAAAATGTGTGCTTGAGAATGAGTAGAAGAATAAGAATGAAAAAAATCAATGAATCAAACAAGGCCTAAGTGTATATTTAGAAACATCGGAAGTAAAATTTATATTTTTCAACTATATCAATTTCATTTTCTTAATATATGTGAAAATGAAAATAATTCTATCTTCGAGGAAAGAAGGGGGTATTCACTTATGTGTCTTTCGATTATGTATTTCTACGTGTCCATTTTTCATCACTCTATTAATGCAATAAAATGATTCCCCGCATCTCTTTCTTCTAGCTCGTTAAAATATAACTGCACCACTTATACAAATTGCAACCTCTTCACATATGCACAATTAGCCCCCCGTCTGACATCCGTTAATTTCTCATTCTCATTTTTCATTTCAACACACTCTCTAAATAAAATAATATTACACACAAATGAAAAAAAATTCATCACTTTTCCACCACATATCAATCGCTATTGCAAAAATTTTATTCTCCACAAAATTAGATTCAAGCACAAGCTTAGAGCTTGTTTGTCTCCCATTATGGCAGAAAGAATGATGTTTTGAATAGTATTTTTTTGGAAAATGTGTGGTTAAAATTAAAAGAAACTTTATTGGTTTATGTGTAGAAAGAATATTTTATTATTTGAACGTGTGGTGAAGATTGATTACTGTAAAAAACAATATTTTGAAAAATGGTAGACAAACAGGGACTTAATGTCCCCATGACCTAAGTCATCCATCCTTAATTTATCATCAGTTAGTACTAACTGCACAAATGATACCATCGTGTTTTTTATCGAAAAAATTAAAATAATATTTAGCCTCGTTTGAAAAAGCATTGACCTTCGAGTTGATTTTTTGAAGAACTCGAATCTATATAGCAAAAAATGCCAATCAATTTTCCTCTTGTTCTATTATCTTTTACACTCTTAATTGCGGTAGAAGACAACTCCAACAAATTCTTATATCATGTTGAGACAACTACCCACAAACATTATTGTTTTTGAACGTTTAATCAACTTTTAATTGATTTAAAAATCACACTGAGATCAGTAAGGCTCCACTATTTTAATTTATAATGAGAGAAATAATTTTTTTTTTTGTTGATGTAGGAACTCGCAGTCGTTACCCTCAAGCGAAATCCCCCCACCACCCCGAAGGGGCGGAGGCCCGACCACTGCCAGTACGCACTAGGTAAATCTTGTTCCATGTGCAGTAGCCCGCAAACCACACATGAGAGGTAAATTGCACTAGGCAGGTCCGGTGCGACGAGTTCGACTGAGGAAGTGTTGGTAAGGGATTCGAACTCGTGATATTTGGTCTCCGCGTTCACTTACTCCACCATCCTCGAATGGGTTGAGAAATAGTATTTTTTTTTTTGGAGAATGTGCGGTCGAATAGGAAGGAAAATTTTTTATTTACATGTACTCCCTCCGTCCCAATGCCCCCGTTTGGCACCCATTAATTTCTCATTCTCATTCCCATTCTCATTCTTCATTTCAACCACACATTTTTCAAATAAAATAATATTACACACAAATTAAAAACTTTTCATCACTTTTCCACCACACATTCTCACATCAATCACTATTCCAAAATTTCTATTCTCCTCAAAATTAGATTCAAACACACC